TTTTAGCAAGGAAGGTTGTATCATCTATATATCACAGGTTGTTAATGAGTCTTCCTCCAATCCTGGTGTCATGTTTTTCTTCATATAACCCAGCTTCTCGTATTATTTGCTTAGCATACAGTTTGAATAAGTATGTCGCACACCTTTCTTCATTTTAAACCATTCAGTGTTCCCATGTTCTGTTAAAACAACTGCCTCTTGGTCCATGTACAGATCCCTCATGAGCACAATTAAGTGTTCTGGAATGCTCATACTTCTCAATGTTGTCCATAGCTTGCCATGAGCCACACAATCGAAAACCTTTATGTAGTCAATAAAGCACAGGTAAACATCTTTGTGATATTTTCTGCTTTCAGCGAAGATCCATCAGACATCAGCATTGATATCCCTTGTTCCATGTCCTTTTCTGAATTTGGTTTGAACCTTTGGAAGTTCTCTGTCAATGTATGGTTACAGCTGTTTCTGTATTACCTTTAGTAAAACTTTACTTTCATGGGATATCAAAGATAGTGAAGTTAACATTCTCCTTGGATCACCCATCAACACTCATGGAAGCAGCAGTCAAATCAAATGATGTATTGTATTAGGCAAATCTGCTGCACAAGACCTTTTTAAAGTGTTGAAGAGCAAAGATACCAGCTTGAGGGCAAGGTGCACCTGACCCAAGTCATGGTATTTTCAATAACCTCATATGCATGTGAAAGCTGGACAGTGAATAAGGAAGACTGTAGAAGAATTGATGCATTTGAGTTATGGTGTTGGAAGAGAATATTGAAAGTCCATGGGCTGCCAAAGGAACCAACAAATCTGTGTTGGAAGAAGTGCAGCCAGAGTGCTCCTTGGAGGCCAGGATTGCAAAACTACTTCTCTCATACTTCAGACATATTGTCTGGAGGAGCTAGTCACTGGAGATGGATATCATGTTTGGTAAGCTGGAGGGTCAGAGGAAAAGAGGAAGATCCCCAGCGAGATGGACTGGCAAAGTGGCAGCATCAGTGGGTTTAAGTGTGTCAATAATTGTGAGCTTGGCCCCAGACTGGGCAGTGTTTCATTCTGTTATGCAAAGATAGGGTCGCTATGAGTTGGTACTGACTTGATGGCACCTAAGAAGAACAACAACACATCCCATGTTCTGATTATTAATGGATGTTGGTAGCTGTGTTTTCCCATTTTGAGTTGTACCCCATCAGTAAATGAAGGTCCAAAAAGCTGTACTCCATGTCATTGTGGTCAGTTCTGTTTCTAGGTGGCAGCTCTTCTCCAGTTGTATATAATGCCTTCCAACCTGAGGGGCTCATCTGATACTATATTGAATTCTTCTACTGCTATTCATATGATTTCATTGGCTAGCCATTCTGAAATTCTCTCTCCTTCTTTCTCATCTGTTTTATTCTGGAAGCTCCAACGAAACCTGTTCATCCTTAAGTAATTTTATTGGTCTTAAAAATACTGGTGGCCTAGCTTCCAGCGTCACAAGCCACATAAGCCACACAAACCACCAGGATATAACCAACTGACAAATAGATGCAGTGCCTTTATATAACATCACATATTCTACTTCCTCCTTGTCTTCTGTTTTCATGCCTTCTTCTTTCCTAACCTTTCTTGACCTTGTTCTTGTTGTGAAGTGCCATTGAGTCAGTTCTGACCCATAGCAACCCTGTATAGGGTTTTCAAGGAGCAGCTGGTGAGCTTGAACCACCAGCCTTGCAGTTCAAACGGCTTTTCAGCCTGGTGTATTAATGCTATCCTTTTGATCTCAACTGTTTAGTTATTCTAAGGTGTGCATACCTCACTAGTGTAACTGTTTCCCTTTTAGACCTGTTGTTTGACTGAAAATGGAACCATTTCAAACTTTAAGAATGACTAAGGTCCATAGTCTCAGGGGTTTTATCAGTTTGTCTGACCAGTAAGTATGGTCTCTTTTATTTTTGTTCCACATTTTCCATCTCTATCCAGGACCTTTAATGTGATCCCGTTCAGAGCAGTTGGTAATAATAACTGGGCACCATATTCTTCTTCTGATCTCAGGGTGTGAACGCTAATGTTTGCGTGGCTTATTAGTCCATTGGACTGATTGTTTCCATGAGTCTTCAGTTTTTATCAGTCTTCTTTCTTCTGGACATGGGTTCCCTAGGTGACCACCCATGAGATTTTTAAGACCCCATTTGTCACTTACCAAATTAGCATGTAAGTCTTTATAGACTCTATCTTGCTAATTTACCTGGACATGGTTCCCTTAGACTATGCCCCTAAGCTCCTGGGCCCAGCAACCTATTTCCTCAAAGTGATGTATGTTAATCTCGGGTTGTTGTCTACTGTTGTTGGCTCTCTGGGTGACAAACTCCTTTTAGTGTATGTTATAAGGTTGGTCTGGTAGCATAAGGAGCTCTCCTAGCGTGGTTACATACCAGGCTGTGAATTGCAAGGTCAGCAGTTCGAAACTACCAGCTGTTCCGCAGGAGAAAGATGAGGCTTTCTGCTCCCATAAAGATATACAGCCTCGGAAACCCTGTACAGGGTTGCTATGAGTCAGAACCGACTCCACGGCACATATCCACCACCACCATAAGGTTGGTCTGGTTTTTACAAATTCCTTTATTTTCTGTTTATCTGGAAATGTCCTAATTTTGCTGTTATATTTGAGGGACAGTTTTGCTGGGTATATATGTGTGGTGCAGTGGGTTAATGCACTGGACTGCAAAGTCGGTTTGAACTGCAGGATCAAAAGTTCAAGCTCACCAGCCGCTCCTTGGAAACCCTAAACACTATAAGTTGCAAATGACTCCATGGCACTCAACAACAATTCTTGGTGGGCAGTTTTTTCCTATCAGAGTATTATATATGTTACCTCATTGCTGCCTTGCTTGCATGGTTTCTGCTGAGAAATCAGAACTTAGTCTTAATGGTTCTCCTTTGTAGGTAAATTCATTTTCCTGGGCTGCTATCAGGATTCTTTCCTTGTTTTTCGTTTTGGAAAGTTTGATTATGATATGTCTTGATTTCCTGTTTTGAGTTCATTCAATTTATTGAATCATGTCTTTTTATCTTTCAAGATGTTAGGGAAGTCTTCTACCAACAATTTTCTGTACCCCTTTTTTTTTCTTTTGTATCCTCCTGTTTGGGATTCTGATAACCCATAAGTTATTACTCTTGATGGTGTCCAAGTAATTCTTAGACTTCCTTCAGATATTTTTCTTGTTCTTTTTCATTATTCTTCATCTAGCAATTTATTATTGAGAAATTTGTCTTCAAGCTCACTAATTCAGCCTTCCATTGATTCCATTTATTACTTTGCCCTTCCATATTTTTTGGTAGTGGTGGTGGTTATATGTTGTGGAGTCAGTTCCGACTCATAGCGACCTTGTATAGGGTTTCTGAAGCTGTAAATCTATAGGAGCAGAAAACCTCATCTTTCTTCTGCAGAGTAGCTGGTAGATTCAAACTGCTGGCCCAGAGCTGCTATATTTTTTATTAATTTGTTATGATGTTTTCCTGAATTATTCTAAAAAGTTTTTCTTGATTTTATTTACAGCTTTCTTGATCTTCCTCTCAATCTTTTGAAGGTACCTAAATAATCATTCTTTTAGAGCTCCTTATCTGGTAGTTCCAGTGCCATTTCTTCTTTGGGAACACTTTCCATATCTGTATTTTGGTCACTTGTTTGAAACATTGTATCTTATTTCATATAATCCGAAACTGTTTCTTCCCAGGCATTGTGGTAGTGTTGCATTTGTATTTAATTGAAGATTGTGTGTTGATACGTTTTTAGGCACTCACGACCTGTCTCCTGGTAGGTGTGATAGAGAATGTGAGTGTATGTACACTTCTCTGTTCCTTGTTCATGTAGCACCATTGGTGGCAGATTTGAATTGTGTCTGTTGATCAGGTGACATAGAAGCAGATATTGACACTCAACGAGTATGTGGGACTGCAAGAGGTATAGGTGTGACTGGGCTGAACTGAATGGGAAGCGTTGTTGTCTTCCATGGGGTGAGACAAAACCACAAAAATGAAAAAAATTATAAGTAGAGTTTCAGGCAAATGACAGCAAAAAAAAAAAAGTTTTAATAACTAAAAAGAAAAGGGTAATAAAATCAAGGGAAGAGAAAAAAGAAAATATAGTATGTAAAACTAGTAAGGGGGAAAAGATGTAGCATAATAAGACAGAAATAAAGAAGAAGGAAAAAGATCATTAGAAGAAAAAGGAAATAGAAAAAGAAAAGAAAGGAGAAAAGTGGGGTAAAGACAAGACCCAGAGAGGAGAAAACTTTGGAGGTCAGGGCCAGACTTGGGAGCAGTGCACCCAGCAGGACTGAACTTCAAGCAGAGCTGTGCAGTGCAAGGGAGTGTGTATCCCAGGTTAATGGGTGGGTTAGTGTGGGGTATGGCCACGCTTCTGGTGGTGTGGAGAAAGAGGGAAAATCCTACCTCATTAATGAACATTTTAATCAAAGATTCTATAGGAGAATCCTGATCAGAAGAGGGAAATTCTGAACAGAGTATTTCTCTAAACCAAAAATATCCCTTGGTTTGATCTTCTTAAAACCAAACCGTTAAAAAAAAACAACAAAAAGTTTATGTGAATAGGGGAGGATCAACTTGGAAAAGGAGGGTGAGAATGGTAGGACAGCTCAAAGAATATAATCCGTGTCATTGAATTGTACTTTGAATTGGTCTTTTTGCTGTATATGTTCTCAACAACAACAAAAGAATTTTTTTTTTCCTGATGGAAAGCAATGCATACTTATGATAAAAGATTTAGAAGTATCTCATCATGAGAATTGAAATCATAAGAATGAAAGTTTTTGTAACCACTGTTAATAGATTGGCATATAGACAAAATAAATTTTGTTTCCTCCTTTCTTTATTATGTATCATCACTATGCTCAGAAAGGAGTAAGAAGGGTATTATTTTACTAGGTGTTGTATGTATGTAAGTCACAAAAGTATTGTGTAAACTGAAGATTCCATGCACAACCTTTCTCTTCTCCTTGCAGACAACCGCCTGATTCCCACCGATTTACGCCAGGAGGCTCTAGCCTTACAGGGATCCCTGGAGTTTGATGATGCTGGTGGTGAAGGTGAGTGACCCCATGAACTCGTTTCTATACACTCGAGTGCTCTAGCCTCCATGTCCTTCCCTAGATATGCCCAGCCCCTTTCTGCCTTGGGGAAAAGGCTTTTCTGTTCCTGTTCCTAGGCTCCTGAGACCTACTTCCCAAATAGCCTTGTGACTCTGCACAGATGTCACTCCCCAGAGGGCGTCTCTTGACCTCTCCCAACTCCATTTTAATGACATGTACAGTAGTACCTCACTTATCCTCTGCTGTGCTTATGTGCTTAGTTTATTGATCATTTTCCCCCCCATAGAATGTGAGTTCTGCAAGTACAAGATAATATTCATTTCATTCATTGCTATATGTCCCTAGTCCATCATTGGCACACAGATGTTTCATTTATTGTTTTTTTTTTTTTTTTTTTTCCAGCAAATTTGAAAGGAATAACTAACATTGTAAATCTTTATTGAGAGTCAAGAGTCTGTCACCTCTGACTTGAGCAGAATCTAGACTCATACTGTTTAATATGGTGGCCACTATCCCCATGTATCTGTTATAATTCTAATTAAATAAAATAATAATTTGAGTTCTTGGTGCACTGGCCACATTTAAATGCTCAGTTGCCTCCTATGGCTGGTGGGTGCTCTGTCGCATAGTATAAGTATGGAATATTTCCATCATTGAGGGTTTTGTGGAGCAGGAGTGCTCTAGATAGATTCAACACATCATCAAGTTACATTATCTCAAAATAGCATCAAGTTCTCATGCCTCTGTTCCTTACAGGTGTAACTAGCCACGTAGATGATGAATATCGATGGGCAGGGGTTGAGGATCCCAAGATTATGATCACCACTTCCCGAGACCCCAGTTCCCGCCTCAAGATGTTTGCAAAGGTACTGTTGGGTGGGGCAACATTAAGGCAGGAGTAGACCAAGTAGGCTTAATCTGTCTGTTCTCAGAATAGGTCCTCACTAACATATTCATATACAGGAGCTGAAGCTGGTGTTCCCAGGTGCGCAGCGCATGAACCGAGGCCGGCATGAAGTTGGCGCACTGGTGAGAGCCTGCAAAGTCAATGGAGTCACCGACCTGCTGGTTGTTCATGAACACCGTGGCACACCTGGTGAGCCTTGGTAGGCGGGTGGCAGGGCATAAGACAGGTGTTCTGAAGGCAGACAGATGCACTGACAAGCCTACCTGGCCCCATTAGTGGGGTTTATTGTCAGCCACCTTCCCTTTGGCCCCACTGCGTACTTCACTCTTTGCAACGTTATCATGCGGCATGACATCCCTGACCTGGGCACCATGTCAGAAGCCAAGCCCCATCTAATTATGCACGGCTTCTCCTCTCGCCTAGGCAAGCGGGTGAGTATGGAAGCTGTGGGTGAGGGTGGGGTAGGCCTGGCCAGGCACTCACCACTTCTATCTGCCCTAGGTCTCTGACATTCTGCGGTACCTGTTCCCTGTCCCCAAAGATGACAGCCACAGGGTTATTACTTTCGCGAACCAGGATGACTACATTTCATTCCGGTGGGTTCATGGACTTGACCTTTGTGTGCCTCTTACTGTTTCTTGTTGATCTACAGCTTTTCCTATCTCTCATTCCAGGCACCACATCTACAAGAACACAGATCCCCGAAATGTAGAACTGACTGAAGTCGGGCCTCGCTTTGAGCTGAAGTGTGAGTCTGAGGCTTTATTTCATAGCTTACTCACTAGGAAGGGGAGGGAGTAGCTGGCTTGCTGCTCTGAGTGTTGACATCCCTCTCTTTGCTCCTTCCAGTGTACATGATTCGCCTGGGCACGCTGGAGCAGGAGGCCACAGCTGATGTCGAGTGGCGCTGGCATCCATACACCAATACTGCACACAAGAGGGTCTTCTTGAGTGCTGAGTGAGCCCTGCTTGTTGGTCAGAGAAATGAACTTGGCACTCAGAGAGTGGGATTACCACAGACCCGTGAAACTGTAAATTCTGTAGGATGGGTGGAGGAGTCAAAATAAATTGTTATATTTTCCCTTTGTCTACCTCTAAATGGGTCAGGATAGGTACCTACACCAAACTGATTCTGAAGGAAGAGTCTGATGGGTTCCCCTAGGATGTGGAAACCTAATGGATGAGGTCATACTCTAACCTGGTATTGGTGAGAGGATTAAGGTCAGGGATTTGGGCTTGTGTTAGTAATAATTCAGATTTGATGCCCCAGAGTAGTCCTTTTGCCACAGGGAAGGCTTGGGGTCTTTGGTTCTATTATCAACTCAGGAGCCAGGGGCCCTGTGACAGCTCATTGTCAAGAGGGGATTAGACACAGGTGATAGGGTCTGGTCATGTAGGCGTATATTTGATGAGTAAGTATGAGCTGCATGAGATGAGCAGAGAAGGACTTGCCCTAACTGGGCTTCTCTGAGATTGCAGGGCAGCCTGAGATGCCTTGCTTTTTTCTCAGCACTTTCTCTAGGCACACCTTTTCATTGCAAACTCAATGGAGGACTCCTTAACTATACAGAGAGAGGTCTTGCACAAGGAATGGGCAATGCAGCCCAGGAGAAACTGTGGTCTCCTGCCCCTTCACATTTTTAGCTTTTTATTGTGAATAAAGGTTTACAAATAAGATCATCATTTTTACATTTAACAAATCATACACCGTGTTTCATTTCAATGATTACAGACTTTTTCATGGAATAACAGCTATCCAGCTTTCTCCCTGTGGTTCCTGTTTGCATTATACCCACCTTTCTATCCCTTCTCAACTTTGTCATTACACATATGTTGTCCTTTTGAATGACTCATTCCATAGTAAGCATACTTTGCTAGTGTTGTCCTCCATATAAACCTATCTGTTGTTGACAAGGGTGAAAATTGGGTTTTGAGGTTGAGTTCCTTTCCAGTCCTGGAGGGTTATCAAGGATCATAGTTTCAGGTTCCTATAGCCTCTTTCTGATGAGTAAACCCATTTTACTCTTTATTAATTTTTGAGTTTTGTTCCACATTTCCTCCCACTCTGTCCAGGACTGTCTAAAGTGATCCCTTTCAGGGCAGTTGGTAATGGTAGCCAGATACTGTCTAGTTTTTCTGATCTCAGAGTCATGAAGACTGATGTGAACATATTTATTCCATAATTGATTCCAAGCCTCTTCAGTTCTAATCAATCTTCTTTCTTCCACACATGGAGAGACCAACAGCTGTGCCTTCAATGACCATTCTTGGACTTTGAAGATCCCAGATGCTACTCACCCAAGCAGTATGTAGAACACTGTCTTTGTGGACTATATTATGCCAATTGACCCTAGTGTCCCCTGAGACTATGATCCTGAGCCGCCCTGTCCCCCCATCTAGGAAGTTTTCATCATTTTGCCTGCTGTATGCTCCACCACATTTCAAGTTGGTTTGCATGAAAAGTAAACATTTGTGTACAATCTCTTTCAAACTCTTCATACTGCTCTGGGGCATCAAATCTGATTGTAGGATATATATATATATTCACAATTATCCCCTTTGAGATCATCTTGACGCAAGCAACTTCTCTTCTTCTCTTTGCCCACATTCTTTGTCTCTTCCAGAGGGCCCTCATTTGACACATATAAAGTAGTGGTTATGAATTGGGCTGCTAACCTCAAGGTCGGCAGTTCGAAACTACCAGCTGTTCCACGGGAGAAAGATGAGGCTTTCTGCTCCCGTAAAGATTTACAGCCTTGGAAACCCTGTACAGGGTTGCTATG